GAAATTCAGGTGGGATAGACTCAAAGTCATATTTTGGTTGCCTTGGATTTGGTTTAATTTTCCTCAGCTTCAGCTTGAATTTGCATATGAGTAGCTGGTGGTCTGTTCCACAGTCAGCTCCTGGCCTAGTTTTCACAGCTGATATTGAGCTTCTCCAGCGCTTCTTTCCACAGATGTAATCGATCTGATTCCTATGCACTCATATCTGGAGCCAAAGAGGAAGAAATTGAAAATTTTTACCAAATCTTGCAGTTTGAAATTGACTGAACATGAAATCAATGAATGTCAATGATAATTGGTGACTGGAATGCAAAAGTGGGAAACAGTGAAGAAGGACTGTGGTTGCTGTTGTTGTTAGGTGCCGTCAGTGGCCCCATTAACAAAAGATCTGAACCCTGTTCTTTCCTGCACCATCCTCACACTTCCTAACACAGAAGAACCCATTGCAGCCGTCACTGTGCCAATCTTGCTCTTACTTGCTGATCCCCAACCCTTCCCAGCATCATGTCCTTTTCCAAGGAATAGCACCTCCTAGCAATACGCCTCAAGTATGGGAAGTGAAGCCTCATAATTCTTGCCTCCAGAGGGCACTCAGGCTCACCCTCTCCAAGAGATAGATGTTTGTTTTCTTGGCCATTCACAGGATGTTCAGTGCTTGTGTCTAACACCTCAGCTCAAAGGCCTCAATTCTTTTTCTGTTATTCTTATTCATTGTCCAGCTCTCATGTATAACAAGCGATTGCAAAGACTGAATAGTCTGAATCAGACACACTTTAGTCCTCAAACTGACATCAATACACCTCAATAATTTGAAGAGGTCCCTAACTACAGATTTTCCCAGTGAAATGCGTCTCCTTATTTCCTGAGTGCTGGTACCAAGAGTGTTAATTGTTGATCCAAGCAAAATGAAGCTGTAGACAGGTTCAATCTCCTCTCCAACCATGATGACACTACATATTGATCCAGTGGTAAGAATCTTTATTTTCTGGACCTTTAGATATGATTCATATAGAAGACTGTATTCCTTGATCTTCTGCAACAAGTACTTCAAGTCTTCCTCAATTTCAGCAAGCAAGGTTGTGTCATGTGCATAATGCAGGTTATTGATGAGTCACCTTCCAAACCTGATGTCACTTTCCTCTTTATAGAGTCCAGCTTCTTGGATAATTTGCTTGACATGCAAATTGAATAGATATGGAGAGAAACTATAATCCTGATTCAGCACTCCCTCAATTTTAAAACATCTAGTGTTCCCCTGTTCTATTCATACAACAAGAAAATATAGGCTTGATGATAGAAATGAAGCTGAAAATGGAATGATGGAATTTTGTACTTTACAAAATTACAAATTCATT